TGTCTGTGTGCATCTGCTGGCCTTGAATGGATGCTCCGGGTGCCATACTCAGAAACTAGTTTTCATCCTGACAGGCAACACACCAGTTTCTGCTACAGTGTGTATGTACTCTGTGTTTCTGTTTCAGACTGAAGGACAAATTCTTAAAAAAAAAAGAAAAAAAAACTTCACGGGCACCAGAATAACAGAGAGACCACCTAAATGAAAGTGAGACAATAAGCAGATTGAGGAACAAACGAAACGAGGAAAACAGAGATGGTTAAAGGCTCATTTCTCCTCCTCCAGCTTTCCTSGCTGTTTTCTTTGAAACTTTTCTATACTAATGACTAAACTATGGTGTGAGCACAAAACTAATCCTAGCCGTAATCAATCTGTGGGCCTCTGATTTGGAAGGCACAGCAACACATTGAGCTCTGTGAAATCCTGATTTCATGCAGCTTGAAATCGGCTCTTGTGTTTCCTCTGGTTTACTGCAGGCTCAGACATTTCTTGCCAAAAAAAGAAAAAAAATGGCATGAGTACAGATTTGCTTTCTTTGTTCATCCACAATAAGTCTTCAAGGTTATACATATAAGGAAGCTGTATGCTAGTTTACAGTTTGATAATTTGATGGAACTAAAGCAACAATTATTTCTGCAATCTGAAAACACAGTTTTTGAATGCTCAATAAAAAAAAATAATGGGCAGTTTTATGAATTTGTTCATCTTTTAAACTAGTTAAAAACAGGGGCGGAGGGGTGGCCATGGCCACCATAGACAAATCTTTGGCCACCCAGCTGTACACACCCTTTACACAGTGAAACAACATTTACGGGTGTAATAATCCTCCTGAACAGTTGGTGGCAGTGTTTAACAGTTTGACACATCACCAAGCTCTATCACTGAAGAAGAGTAATGACAAGGAAGTGATGATTTTCTTTATATAAAGAACATATGGCAATGTAATCTGACTGGTGTAAACTTTTGGACATATGATGACAAATGTTTTTTTTTTTTTTGGTCATTTTTTGCAATGAAGACTGCATGATGTTCTGTCCCTTTTAGTTTTGAGCAGGCCTATCACTAAATCAGAAAAAAATTACCTGTTCATTGGGTAAAATTAATATTTGTTTTAAACCTGCAGCTGAGGGTCATCATTATTTGGCACAATGACATGTGTTACAATTAAAAATAAATCAATAAACAATATAGAAGTAAAAAGCACCCCTAAAGTCATTGGATATGATAGTGTGTCACTTTAATTAACCTTATCTCAGCCATAGCAGTGAGTTTAAAAACAGGATGATGGAACTAGTTTAATGAATAATTTGTCTTTGAAATAATTATCAAAGCAAGTGTTTATTTMTGTAGGTAAGAGTATGTTTAAAAACTTGGTAAAATACACCAGAATGCAGGAAATGTTATCTATTTAATTCAACATTTTCTGGGGGAGGACCCTCAGACCCCCCAACAGTGTGTCCCCCCACTTTTAAAATGGTGCTTATGCCCACATTTATAAGGTAGTCACTGCCTGTATAAGGACATAAGGAAATGATCAAAACACAAAGATCCACAGAAACTTTCAAGTTAAAAATGATGTTAATTTTCCTGGCCACCCCTGTGTGAGTAGTGGTCCCAGTCTGGCCACCCCTGAGAAAAATGTCTGGCTCCGTCACTGGTTAAGGATGAAAAAACTCAATTCAGCACCTTAAATCTTAAATTTCAACTTGAACCCTGATTTATGAATTTCTTTTCTCCCTTTCATAAACCACTAAAAGTATTGTTTTAAACTATCTTTAGAAGTCCCTGTCAGTCTTAAATAGCTCAAAATAGGTTTTTGCACTCAAATCTCAGAAACACTGTCTACAACTTATACACCATTAAAGCCATCTAAAGCTGAAACCCCAGCTTTTTCAGTAAAGCAATTACTTGAACGTATCAGATGGAATATCCGTGTCTTATGTTTTGCAATCTGTGCCAGCAGATTTCCCAAACTGTCTTTGCAGATTCTCAAACAATCTCTTTGTTCAGAGACGRTGACTGTGCCAGTGTCTACAGGACGTTACAAACCACCCACAGCTGAGAAAGTGGACCTCATAACAGGCACCATTGAGCTGAATTGAGCCAAACTGTGAAATGGAAAAAGAGGCTATAAGATGATTGAAAGGCCGGAAGAACTGCAGCGTGCTGAAGCCAAGAGGGGTCTACAGAAACCAAGAGGCAGATAATAATTCTCTATCGTCTCTTACTTACTTGTTAATTTTACAAGACAAATAAGTCAAGTGCATCTTCTAACAGTGCAGTGACAATGGCATGGAATTACATACAAATGTTTTCAGGTAATAAAACTGGTGATTTAGAAATCGAATGTAATTTTAGTTTCATTTAGTCATTGGGTTGACTGCATCATATTGATTTCAAATGGTAAAAAGCCTTACACTTCTTTTTAAACCTAAAAGTAATCATGTGCTCATGCATGCTTGTGCTGCCTCAGTTTAGTTTAAAGTTTAGTTAAAAACAAAGACAAGGAGGAAAACACTTACCTGTGCATAAGTTTTTGACCAAACTTTAAACTTTAAGCTAAACTGAGCAGCATGCATAGTAGATCTGCACTTGGATCCTGCTCCTTCCCGTCTGTTGACCAACAGAAGACGAGCTGACCCAAGAAGCTCCGCCCAYGTTATTTGCATAATAAGGCCAAAATGCACAAGGCAATGTAAAAACAACACATGGAAATAAATACTGTAAATAGTATGTGTATCCATAACAATTGTTTGAGAAAGATTTGATGTTTACTTTTTTTGTTTTGTTATTTAAAGATTATTGCTTGAATTTATTTGATGGAGAAAATATTTTTTTCTTCTTTCTGCTGCCTTTCATTATATTTTATTAG